GTATGTATCTATAAAGACTTTATTTGGAAACATCAAGCCTATCATTTCATTTAGACAATCTTCTTTGATAAACACTAAATGTCTGAATCACTAAATGGAACCTTAAACACCTGATTTCCTCTACGAATAAGTACTTCCCGCGAATGCAAAACATTTTTCCGTACACTTCCAAATTAAATTATGCCCATTCCTGGCGCGCCAGAGACTTTTGCCCTCGGACAACGACTGTCAATAGTGAAATTTTCGAGCAGTCACCCAGCATAACAAACAGGACGGTGTCAGTGTGCACATGTGTCTGTCTGTATAACTCTGATCGTGTGTTGTTCGTGTTTGAACGTGACTCTTTCCGCAGAACCCGTGGCATCGCGGGCCTGGAATACCCGAGGGTTGAGGGGGTGGCAGGTTGCCGATTGTCTCGAACGATTGTTCCCCCTTGAGGAGGGACGAAATTGGGAGAATCGCCGACGTTCACGAGAGAGGAGATCGCGAGAGGGTACGTTACACAAACGGTGCCGGATCGCAGCTCGTGCGAGTCTTCTCAAGTATATACCGTACCTTGTACGTGTGTCCGTGTTTTGTCGCTTTCTCGGGGAAGGAACTGACCCCAAAAGAACATTTGCTCGTGCGAGAATTCGTGCGTCCGCGGCCTGGGGACCCTCGCGAGTCTCGTCCGCAAGCGACGTCATCGAGATCGGTAACTAGGATTTCGAAGGGGTACATCTTTCGCGCAGAGTACCACATTTTCGTTCAGATACCGATATCGAGCAATTCTAGTTAGTACTAAATATAGTAGGTTGTCCAAAAACTTTCTTTCATTTCATTAATAAGTAATACGTACGCAATATTTTATATCTAATGTTACACCACTGAATCGCGTACGATTCATTTATTCTGTTACTGTTACGACATTAACATCTAAGAGATTAGGTTGTCTATTTATATAAACACGGCCACACAAAATAAATGAGTGCAAGTCACGAAAAAAAGATTTGGGACAACCTAATAGACTAAGTGAGAAGTATCAGAGCTTCGGAGTGCTTACGAAGTACTACATAACATGGCAATACACACATCACGTGATATCACGTTTCCCTGAATTTCTACGTATCTTCAGATATGGAAGCTTTAGACTTCGAAGGGGTACATCCTTCGCGTAGGGTACTAGATATAGATTCCAATATTGACTAATTCAAGTTAGTAGTAAATGTAGATTAAGTGAGAAGCATAAGAGCTTCAGAGTGCTCACGAAGTACTATATAACGTGGCAATACACACATCACGCAACACCGCCTTTTCCCGAATTTCCGCGTATCTGAAGCTTTAGACTTCTCAAGCTTTATTACATTACAACCATCCAGTACTACGTTTCCTAGCATCCTCAAGCTCCTACACTTCTCCCTTTCAATACTCTGTATGAACCATAACAACTTCGCTTTGGAGTGCTCACGAAGTACTACATAACGTGGCAATACACACATCACGTAACAGCGCCTTTTCACGAATTTCCGCGTATCCAAAGCTTTAGACTTCTCAAGCTTTATTACATTACAACGATCCAGTACTATACTTCCTAGCATCCTCGCATCCCCAAGCTCCTACACTTCTCCCTTTCGATATTCCGTATCAACTATAACACCTTCCTGCCTACCCAATGTACCCCCAAATATCTTCGATACCTTCGATATCTCCGATTCTTAAATTTCTAAAAAATCAGTCGATCTCGAAGACGTCAGCTCGCGACGAGGCGTCGCGACGCGTCCTCCCGGTTAGGAAGTAAACCGTCCTCCGAGAGCGACGGCTCGTTTCCCTCGAAGACGACACGTATTTTCCCTTTCTGCGGCCGCGCACCATGGCGTGTGATTACACGGGCGTGATCACGCAAGGGAGAGGGGGCTTGAAGCGTGAAACGACGCGGGACAAGAGACTGAAAGCCGCTGGCAGCGCAATAACACTTCTACTTTGCAAGCAATAACTACTACGCAACAACGGTACGGTGGGCAGGGGGGGGGGGCCGCGATCGAGAGAAAAAAAAGAGATTTATATATATATATGTTGATCCCGGTATATGCTTATGCGCGCGCTTAGGGTGTACGCGCATCTCTGTACGCGCGTGCGCTTGTAGACAGATGCGTGTACCGTTCTCTCCCAGACGAACGATATCATGATGTATGTACATATACGTTGATGAGCGTGACACAATCGTCGATCAAGTGATAGTGATATACGTATATATATATAGATAGATAGATTGATTGATTGATTGAGAATAGTAGTAATAGCAATAATATTTCTTTTTATATATATAGGTATATATGTTTATGAATATGCCGACATGGGTAGAAATAGCTTAAGGACCTGCTTCTGGGCCATCGACTGCATCTGCTGGAACATGATCCTTTCCTCCTCTTTTCCTGGAACAGCAGAAAGCAACGAGAAGCTCTTGGGGGGTCTGCTCGGTGTCCAGAGTTTCGGACGGTCTCTGTCTGCGTTTTACGATTTTAATATCAATGTTATTTCTCGCACGGTCCCATTTCGATCGAGTGGGGAGAATGATGTTTTCGCTCGATGAAGTAACAGAAATGTGCTATTCGTGAAGAAGGGACTTTTTTTATTTATTTTTTTTTTTTTTTTTTTTGTTTAGCGACCGTTTATACGTGCCTCTTCCGTGGCTGCTGTACTGTTTCCGTTTTCGTGTCGTCGTCGCGGGACGCTCCTCGTCAGGTAATTTACAATTGTGTTCAGGGACGTTTTCGAGACAAGAACCCGCCACGATATTACGCTCGAAAATTTTGCTGAGGACCGGCGAAAATTCGACGAAAACCACGAGCGTGCTCCGCTTCTCGTCGTTCCGTATGTATCCTCTTTACGATTATTACTCCGAGAAATAGTTCCTGTCTCGCTGTGTGCAATCTCGCGGAAATGGAGAACGCCGGCCGAGCTGAACGCGGGGAGCGCTGCTTAAACTCGTACCAAACCAGAGATACGGGCACAAATTCTCATCCAAGAACGGATAACGAGTGCGAACGAGGTATAGCAATTCAGTTTGCGACGTCTATTGGACCGGTGTCCGTATGAACTTGTATTCGAATTGGAATTTTTATCTTTCATTGGCTACACGAAAATTTTGACCATATCTCAGCGCAAAACTCACCACCAGAATTTTATTAATCTCTGATTGCTCCAGTCGCGTCGATTTTCAATCATTTTTCCTCGCGATCTCTTTTATGAATCCTTCTTTTTAAATAAGTAAACGATTGATTAAATACTAACCTCCAGATTTATATTCAGTGTCGCAGTTAGCTGCCGAAATCTTAGTATTTTACTGGGAATCCATCTAAAGTTAAAAATCCGTTTCGTAAGAATGCAGTAAACAAAGATAGGAACTCTATCACATCAAAGAAGTCGGACAATAAGCTTCGCGGCCATATTGGTTCGCCTTCGTAAAGTAAAGTCAGGCAACATCGTCCACAGATTCGCGTAGAATTGTTTATTTCTGTATTCGGTCTTCGGCGATGTTCCAAATTAACGTTTCCCTTAGCCTGAAAAAAACGACCGAGGCCACTTTGTGCGCGTCTCGACAAAGTGCGCGCACGTTTATGCAAATTAAGCTGGCTGAGATGGTCCGAGTGCCAGGGGCATTTTGTTTTGTCGAGGCGACTGGATTCAACCGGGGAGATTAATTCACCTTCGGGGTCCACGGTGGTGAGTTTCGACGCTGAAAAAACGTCCTCTTTCAGAAGGAAGGGAACGAAATGCTCGAAAATTCGTTCCTAATCGCGAATTTCAACGTTTCGATGAATCCACGACGCTTCAACGACCCGTCGATTAAATTTCTTGGTGAAAAATTCACGCTTCTCTCTTTCCGCACTCGGCGATTTTACCTCTGACAGCTTGTAGTATTGGGGTGACCCAGATAATATTGTGCGTTTCAGTGCTTCGATTGATTAAATAAAAAATTGATTTCGTTGTCGTCGTTAATTCGTTCGTTATTGATGGATCGTAATGGTCAAGATGTTGCGTGCTAAACTAATCATGATTTCTGGGATTTGCTTGGTTTGAACTTTGTCGAATGACGCTGCTAATGAAACAAACATTTTCTGTTGCTATTTTACTACGTATAGTACAGGGGGATTGCTAGTCGATATTCCTAGAATGAAGCGTAGTTCGATGGAGAATCGATTCAGGACGATAGGTCCTGTCGCTAAGGGATGAGATACTTCAATGATCATGACTTAAAGAGAACTGAAATGAAATACAATTAAAGTTTAGTTAACATAATCAAAAGTACTTCTTCGATACTAATCTCAGAACCGTCGTAGATGTAAAAATATGAAAGTACATTTAATAGATACTATTGCCAAGAGTTCTTTTTTCAATAAAATTATCAATAATCGAATCGCCCTAAAAATCTGTCGTGAAAACTGCAATTTAAATGTAATCGATATTGAAAATTGAAGCTACAGTTTCATTTTTTCGCAATTGTTCTCTCGTCTATGAACTTACGTTGAATATTGTTAACAACAAACATTTCCCGTTCACTTCAGCTCTGCTTTGACAAAATCGGTTAAATGTAGTACGAACACGTTCGTTGACAAAATGACAGCGTTTGTGTAAGGGAGGAAATATTTTAACGGAATGCCTCACCCATTCCCTTGTTTTGGAGCATCTCGAGGAGCTTCTTGATGCTTTCATCGCGAGCTTGCAGGGTCTGCTTCTGCGTTTCTATTCTCAATTCCAGCTCCTGCAACAAAAAGACGCTTTCTAATTAGTTCATGCAAAGGGAGACTCGCAAAATTTTTATTAATGCTCCGTTTATATAATTGGAAAGAAACCTCACTTTCTGCGGCCATTTGCCCTCGCCACTGAGATACCAAAGAAAGGGGTAACTTTAGGAACGGTGAAACTTGAAGATTTTTCAATTCAAGTCCAATTATCTTGCTCGGTAGTTTCAGTGTTAGAGATGTAGAGGACTCCTGAAGAGGTTCTCGGAGTTGCATAAACATGCTTTATTTATCCCGCGGGAAATTGTTCGCCGACGCAACAATTTCACTCGTCGTGTGAAATGTGTTTGTGGAAAATTGAGAGGAAAACCGAAAGGATTAAGAGGGTTAACGGAGAACGGCGCTGGATAGTTTGCGTGGGAGGGAGAACGACTACGCTTTTCCTGTGACGGTGTCAGTTATAAAAGGTAAAGGGGTGGCCAGCGGGTGTCTAATTCCGTACTAATTGCGTTGCCGTCGTCAAAGGAGCGGTCTAAATTCGTTACACGGGTGTCAAGCACCGGCACTATCTTCCCAGCGAACGTAACACGAATCGAGCATTTTCCAGCGAAACAATTCGCGCTCCAGCTCCTTCCTTTCCTCTTCTACCCTGTCCTTCGTGAAATCACAAAGACAATCGTCTTTGAACATATTAATAAACCTTGCCAAAAGGGAATTATGCCTCGAAAAGTATCGTTAATTCATGGAAAATCGAAGTAAATGTTAGGTGATCGTAGTTCGATGCGAGCTTTAATTGAATCTGGGTGCTTTGAACCTCTTCAGGTAGGGTTTGGTCTTCTGACATACCGTAGGAACGCTGTAATTGTGAGGTTTTATGATATTTCGTCACGTTTTCTGTTTGGTGGTGATGGGAAGCATTATTATAATTAAAATTGTAATATTCTTCCAAGACAAGAATGAGGTGTGGATTGGTGAAAATATTTTTGTGCTCATGCTAACGTATGAATTTTTATAATATTTTCAGGTGAGGCATAATAAGTAAAGAGGGTTTTAAATATTTCTTTCCAAGAATTTCACACATAAATATCATGCGAGGTCACGTAGGATGTCAACATGAAAGGGATCGGAACCAAAACTCTATAATTGGAGAAAATGTTCTCAATCGACTTTTGGCCAACGTTTCCAGAAAAACACCCCCTCGATGGTCGGATTAGAGACACGAACGAGACGGTGGCTCGTCACGCGAGGAAACGCTGGCCGTTGCCGATGGACCCAGGCCACGATCGCTGAATTTGATAATAAAGGCTGCGGGGAACGTAGCCAGAAAGCGACTGCATAATTTGGCGAGTGGCCAAAGGCGACCAGTTGCTCCCAGTGCGTTGCACGTTTGACCTGTCCGCGCGACTTGGCCGTGGACGTCGGTGTCAACTTGTTCTGCAAAATTTCCGATCGTTGCCCGCCGAATAGCGGATTTAGAAAAGGGGTTCTTGAACTTTCGACCCATTCGTGTCCGTGGCGTAGGTATTTTTGGAGCGAGCGCCGCGATCGATAGACCACCGCGATAAGATTGGCTGGTCTGCGTTCGATCAGTCCCTTTCGCAGCTGGCTTACTCCCCGAAGGGTAAATGACTTTATTTTAAGGATGAATCGGCGTCCATCGCGCCCTCGACCATTTCGTGCGTGGGATGAACAGACCAGAAGGGAATCGTGGTTAATTTCTGTGCTGATGGAGCCTCGATTAGAGGAAGTAGTCGAGGATGGTTATCTCTCGTAAAGTTAGTTGTATCCATGATTCTCTGATTATTGGGTAAGCTGCTAGCCAATCTAGGCAACTTGGTTAATTATTTGCTAATTTCTACTTTCAGAGAAATTCGCTCAAACTTGTTAGATTATTCGCTAATCATATAATACATTTCCCTCCTAAAAAGACCAGTACCAACCACTTTCACACGAAGAATACAACAATCTTTTCAAGGAGTGTGGACCGCCGGAGTGGACGTTTCGTAAAAAAGTCGAAGAGGCGTCTCGTTGTTCGTGATCTAATTTCGCCCGCGAACAAGACGGCGGCTGTTCCGTCGTTTATTGATCCAGCGTTATCCAGGGTGCAGGGATCGCTTTGGGCGCCACTGGTGGCAGACTTAACGGAGTTATTGCGGGTAGCTGATACCCGTTGCCAAGATTTCCGGAAGCATCGCGAACCGTTGGCAGACAATCGGTCGTTTACCTCGAACAAGACCTAAACCTCTTGTCTATTTCGGTTTCGGGACTCCTGCGCGTTTCCTGAGCGCCCGTCAAACCGCACCCGAGGGATTAGTCGAGCGAATCGCCCGCTAAATCGCTTGTTCTCTGTCAAAACGTTGATTAAGGCGAATACCCCCGTCGTCCCTCGATTTACACACTCGCCTTGTTAATCAGTCACGCTCGAAATTCTTCTTTCGGACGCAGAATGCGCGTTGGCGCGTGGGCAACCTCTTCAGAGCACGGTAATTCGTGCTGGGAATTTAATTATTTTTCAGAACCATGTTTAAAGGTTAAATCGGACCATCCAACAGGCAAACTTCCTGTCAAAGCATTCCTCGAAGGAGCGAAGATCCACATGGAATGATGACAGAGAATCTGACTCGAGTGTTTTTGTAAAGCGACACCCCTGTGAGTGCAGACCTTTTGTATGTGTCTCGTTAATTGCAGGAGTATAGCTGCAAGAATTGAAAGTTCAAGAACGTTACTTCCATTGAAACGAGCTGGATACTATTTCTGAGCTTGGTATGTGCACGAATTGACACACATTCTTTCTTCAGCTTTATTTCTACATTTTCCTAATTTCCTCAACTTTATTATCTCTGTTTTTCTTTAACTGTTATAGATTGATTGTACATCCAGTATTAACACATGTGTTTCTTTGTATCCTCCTAATTTCTTTCTTTCTTCAGCTTTATTTCAGAATTCTCTTCATTTCCTCAACTTTATTATATCTGTTTTTTTAACTATTATAGATCGATTGTACGTCCAACATTTCGTTGGAACGTGAAGTCGTATCGTTTAGTTAAAATAATTAAACACGAGCCTGGTACTCGATTACACCATTATTTTGGAGGAGAGAATTCTCAACAAATATAGAACTCAGCGGCCACAGAACGAGGTTATACAAAGAAAAGGAGGATCGGGGTTCTCGAATTCACGGCTCGACCCCGGATCCTTCGCTTTTACCGCCGTTTCGTGCGTTTTATCCCCGTTATTCGCGATTATAATGATCCTCCCGGTGAACGCCATTCTTCCAACGAATTCCAATCTGAACGAAAGCCAACGATGCTCCATTCTTCGCGCGAAATCCATTATTCTCCACGGGCTCGCACGTTCGCGATCAATTTCTCGGCATTGAAACGAAGGATTTTCAGATAACACGGGGAGGGAATATTAATTAAAATGCGATTCGAGTAAATTGATAGATCAAACGTAATGACTGCTCGCGTAGGGAAATCTTGCGATCTATTGCGTCACTGGTATCTACGAGAGCGTAAGAGACGTCTTGCAGCAGCTATAATGCCTTCTTCGAGTGCTCTAAAGTAGATGATTCGAGAATGTTTTACTCGATAATGGAAGCCTCGTATGATTTTACGCGAAATTGACAGCTAATGTGAATGATTATTTAAGCATGGAAGCGTATAAAAATCGAACTTACGTATCAAAAGTTATTCACCTCCGCATCGGTATTCTTGAGACTGCTTTATACGGGCATTATTCAAACACCAAATAAAATAGGCGCCATTCCCGCGCAATAGCTGGTTGCTGGTTGCATTTACACGAAAGATAGCTGGATAAGCGCGAAGAATACTTCCTCCAAATCCCGCAAGACGCGAGATCCGCGCTTGAAAAATTTAAATAAGCCGCTTACCTTTATCGTGTCGCGAAGTATGGCGATCTCTCGCGTCAGATGCTCGTTCTCGTTGTACAAAACTTCCATTTGCTGTTGTATCTCGACGCTCGGCCCCCGCATCCTCATTCTGAGCTCCTCTTCCAGTTGTCGCACCATCATGCTTTGTTTCTGAAAGGAACGAATGAGATTCACTATTAAAAAAAAAGAAATACATAAAATGCTAATGTCCCGTAGACTTGTTACCCTTAAAAATACATTTTCGCGGAAATAATTGCACACTCGAGCCGTGTTAGACTACTTCAAGCATGAAACTGATAAGCGGATCGATAGAAAGCCAGCGTCAGGGAAAAGCTCGTAGCTTTGAGCGAAACCTAAATACGTCCGTCAAAATGACCGCTTGTTTCTGCTGTTTCGAGCACTTTGAATCGATACGCGTGTCTCTGCCCCCCTCTCCAACGAAAATGTCGAAATTGCTACCTAAATTCCCCCGAAATAGCAACTGTTCCGATTACGGGAACGTTTCCACTCATTGTACAGAAAATTCTATCCCGAAAATGTTGCAGTAATCGAATAATTTGTTAGTCATAACTGCAATGAGTTGCTTTATGTCGAATCATTCCAACGGAAACTAATGATTGCGAAGCAATTCAAGCGTAAGCCAATATGTTTCGCTCGCAGTTAATAAACGGAAGCCGCGTAGCCATACAGGATTTAGTTTAATGACGATAACGCCTTTGCCACGCCGCGTGAAATGTAGTTGCGAATAATGGTATAAAGGAAGGAGTCGTCTGGAAAAAGTTGCTCTCGAAAGCTGGCTTATTCTCGCTCCCAGAACTCGATTGTATTAGACTTTACGATGCACCCGGCATAAATTCGCTCTGTTTACTCGGTAGAATAGCAAGGGGCGAAATAAGATTGCCAGCAACAAGGGTAGCGGGCTGAAACGGAGAAAATCGCCCGATTACCCAGTGGAAGACGATTTGGTGTCTGGAAAAGAGCTTTTCAGGGTGCGCACCGTGCCATGTTCTAGGTAACAGCATACGAAACCTTTCCAGGTGGGCAAAGTCAATATTTCTACGGAAGTTCGATCGCGGTACGTGCTCCATTCGGATTCGCGACTTTGGAAAGCTTTTCCTCTCCCCACCCACATGGTTCTCTTCTTTTCTTTAACACGGTCCTCCTAAGACATTTCTTTCCAGTTTCGTTGCTTCCTCAACTTTATCTCGACGAGCACCTTCTATCATACTTTCTCCTCCTTCCTTTAATGTCACTAGTTCCACTCGAGCAACTTCCCTTGTAGCCACTGTGGTATACTTTATATTATTTTATCTTTTACTACGAGGTGGCCTTTATGCTGCTAATTTTCCACTCTGCTTGTTCTCTTGTGCTCGTTGTAATTTCCCCTCAGAACGTTTCTTTATATTTTCTTTTCTTAATCCACGTTGTTAATCCACGTTCAGAACGCGTGCATACATGTGCCCACATGTGCCCACATATGCTTAAAATCTCCCTCTTGTTTTATGTCTCAAAAAGTGTCTTTTCTATTTTTTTTTCGTTGAATAGATAATCTTCCCAAGAAACGTTCCTCTAGTTTTTCTTTCCTTACTCCACATTACGAAGGAGCTACATATGTCCACATGTGCCCAAAATCTCCTTCCTGCTTTATATCTCAAAGAGTGACTTATTACAATGACGAAGGTGTCATGTTTTTCCTATTTTCCATGTTTCTATATTTTTCTTTTTTTTGCGTAGCATGGACGTCATCATTCTTTTCCTATCTTGCAACTCTCGTATCTTCTGTACACAGTGTCACACAATACAGAGTGTACACGAGGATATTGTTCCAGAGTCTTGGTCCAGCTCGTTAGGCGTCGTTAATGACGATGCCGCAAGGGTCCGCGAGCACATGTGTAAATGGTACGTTAGTTAGACAAAGGAGAGACCGACGAAAAAAAATTTCCCGTGCCCCTGCAGGCCGTGTGATTATAACGGGAATGTTTTGAGGCGCGCTTCGGATGAAAGAAGGAGTTAGCTTGATATCTCTTTCGCGAATCTTTCTTACACTGCGTTTCCCATCGAGCTTGCGGTCGGCAGCGATCTGCTTAATCTCTTCGAGAAACTGTAGCCGTGGTTCCTTCGCGAGTAATAAAACGAACATGCTCTCGATACTTGCGTAAATATACAGTTATAAAGTGCAGAGAAGTGTTAAAAGAACACAGAACACAGATGTACAGATACCATTCAGATTTCTTTGTACGTAAGATATGACTTTTTGAAACGGTGAGAGGGGGGATATGTGTTTTCTTCACGCAGTCGGATAAGTTTGAAACACACTGTTTAAAGATGTGGTGTAATAAATATACTTGGTTGATACTTTACATACCAATCGTCCAGCATACGTAAATGCGCACAGTTTGGCTATGACTTATATGATTTATAAATATACAAAGTGATTTAAAATTCTTACATAAACGAAAACTGTGAGATATGTATCGAAACAATGTCGGGACGTGTGCAAGCAATGAATGGAACGAATATCATTAAATTTGGTTGATAAATGAGTCGTTCATTGCACAAATCGATTAACTCTATAGAACAAAGTGTTGAGAAATCCGATGAAATATAAAAAGTTATGACTATACCAAGTGCTTTGACGATTTTTCAAAAAGTGGAGTTAATCGATGTGTGCAATGAACGGCAGAAATATCGTTGCCAATTGGTGTTAGAGTTCCATTAAATGTTATTTTTACTCCAAATTTGATTAAATTCCGCGTGAAGGTGCGTTTACGAGCCAACGTGGTCTAAAGGCCACGATATTCGGTGGGACGACGTCCCACCGGAAGTGGAGGCGTTCGATAGCGACGATCGACCTGATTTCACGTACAAGGAAGTTGCGTCGCACTGCTACGCGCCAGGGGATGTGGCCGAACGAACCCCCACCAAGCCAGTGACGTCAGTTACCCCCATAACGAAATCACCCCACGAGAAGCCATGGCCAAATTCCCCTGTTCGCTGGTAGCCTACTTCCCTCGCACTGGGCCAATCGATGCCACGGGTTTAAAATCCATCGATTTATGCGATTTCGTCGCGATCCTTTCAACCCTTTATACAAAATTCCCGTCACTTTCTTAATGGTAACGAGTACCAGTGACCTATAAAGGGTTAAACCATCCCCATCGAAGTCCTGATCGCGTTATGGTAAACAACGATTCGTTCATCGTCGATTCTACACTCGTCCAATATCAGAAAAACTTTGCAGGAGTCAGAACTACCCAGGAACCTAAATGAAAATAATAGTAATATTAGGTTGTCCCAAAAGTTTCTTTCAGTAACTTTTAATAAAAGTTTGTTTTATTAATAATTAATACATACACAATATCTTATGTTTTATATTACATTAAAAAATTGTGTACAATTCATTTCGCTCCATTACTGTTACAGCATCAATGTCTAAGAAATTAGATTGTCTATTTATATAAACACTGCCACAGAAAATAATTGAATGCATCTCACGAAAGAAACTTTTGGGACAACCTAATAGATACTAAGTCTTGAACTCTATTTTATAGCATTTATTCGAGTCTGTATATAGTAATGTTTGAACCACTTCGACACCTCGCTTTCCGATTAAGTGGATCAATTAAGAGAAAGTAGGTTTAGACCTCGGTGTATACAAGTTGGGGCTAGTTTATTATTAAAACGGAGCGCGTTACGGTAGGGAAACAGAGTTTAACATTTTATTACGGTCTGCTCATTGTTCTTCGCGGTTCGGTTGTTTGCGTCGGTAAGTTCATAACAAGGTTTCCCCGACGAGAAGCGTTTTAATTTAGGACACGGTCGCTTTCATTCACTTATGCCTCCTTCCACGAAGCTCCTGTGAACTATCGCGAGTACTATGCCACGTTCAATCGTAATCGTGTTCAGCCTTAAAAGCTGTGGAACGTTTTATCTAAAATCTCTTTAGGAGATTCTCTTATGGTAAAATGAGGGTTAACGAACCCAAGAACTTATTATGCGTATTATGTTCATTATATTTTTATTTTAACATGGTTATCAAGAATTTAAAGTTACTCTGGCCCTATAATTATTTACAGGGTGTTGTAGCAATAGAGAAATAAGTGGCACGCGATGTTGCCACCATTTCGTTTGAAAAGCAACCCTTGCTGACGACGTCTCCGTCATCAACGCGGTCCATCATGAACGAAGAATCGTTTTGTCAGGTCGTCGTCCTTCATTACCTCGGACAGGGCACGGTTGTTGTTTTCACGATAGGGTTACTCGGCCCCCGTGTAAGGAGAAACGCCGCGAGATAGGGTTTACGCGATCGTTAATAGGATCTCGTCTTAAGAGGGGCTTCGTTTAAACTTTAAACCCTCCATCTTCCATCTTTCCCCGTCCTTTCGTGCTCGATCCGCGTAAGTGTGTCGATGGACGATACCAATCGCAAACCCCGAGATCGGGTTCCGCGTCGGGGGTTAATCGAAGGCTAATCGTTTCGAAACCAGAACACGCGACACCCTGTAAGCGACACTCTCCCTCTACCAACCCCCTGAGGGCGATGATGACGCAAAGCATCGCACGTGCACGCTTTTCAAGGAAAGCTGATCGGTGATTTCAGTGCCTGCACCGTTGATTATTCTTCGAACGACTCCGAAGAACGTAAGCATTAACTTGTTCAGCCATCGAGAGCCTTCACCGAGGTACGACTTCGAGACTAGTTTTGGTATTTATAATGCAACGATAACGAGTTTCCAAGAATACGTGAAATAGGTCGCAAATCGTGGCGTGCTTTTACCGAGCAACAAAGCTGCACAGCCACTCTTTGTTTTTTTCTAGGGTCGTTGCACGATACATCGACCTCTTCCGGGTCCCTAGCGTTCGTGCATGCCTTTTAATATATTTATTTTTCGTGTACCCACCAGCTGCGCACACCATCGAATTAGATATGCGCCGTGCATTGTCGCGCACGTGTCGTAAACGCTCTGTTTATGCCTTCGTAGAACGCGATAAGAATTTTGCGAGGTGCGCGTGATGTAAATTTCTAAAATTTCTCGAGAACCAAAAGTAAAACTGTGATCTGGCGATTCTAGAGAGAACTGTTCTTTCTGACATGAATAATTAGGTCGAAACGTATGGAAATGTATCGTCGCGATTCCCCTACCATAGTT